GATCTTTACTACTTTAGGCAGGCAGTAGTTTTGGGGATTTTTTTCCTGTCATGATCCTGCAGGTTGAACTTTTAGTGGACTTCTGGCTACAAAGCCTGGATGTGTATATCCATCTCAGTCCTGGGTTTGTCCTGGAATGGAGATGGGCTTACAGCATGAGCCTGCCAGATGAGAATTTCAACAGTCTCAGTTCAGTAGCGAGTGTAGTCTTCCTATCTTCTGGGCATCCTGGAACAGATCATTTTGATTCCCCCCCTGAAATAGCCTCAGAAGGTTTTCCATGCAGGCCAGAACAGCAACAGCTTCAGAGTCTAGAGATGAAGTGTTAAGGTTAGTGTGCTGCTTGTGTACTGCCTCAGTACAGCCAGCAGGTTAGAGATGTTTGTTTTTCACAATCACTGGCAGGCTGAGGTGGGGAAGGGACCCCTGGAGATCATCTGGCCCAACCCTCTGCTCCAGTAAGTGCACCTTGTGCTAGTTGTCCAGGACCATGTCTGGGCAGCTTTTTAATATCTGCAAGGATGGCGCCTCTGCCACCTCCCTGGGCAGCCTGCTCAAGTGTTTAGTCATTCACCATATCCCCTGAAGTTAATTCTGCTGCAAAGAGAGAGCTCTTGCAAGGATTTTGGGAGATGATCCTATTTTCCCTCCCAGCAGCTGTGCTGAGTGAATATTCACAGTGCCTGTATGGAGCACAAAGAACAGACCATGTCAGATCTCAGTGAATGCTCATCTACGTCTTTGACTCTGAACTATTCTTTAATATTGAAAAAAACCCTATCAAGCCCAGCTAAGCCTCTTACACTGAACAACAGTGATTCAGAGCCTCCATTTGCCAACAGACACATCATTATCTTCTAGTTTTTACATGTCAAAACAGCGTGGGAGTGTAAAGTAGTAAAAGCTGATAAGGATTTGTACACAAAGCTTGTGTTTAGAACAACTATTGAAAAGTTCTAATGTGATGGAGAAACTCATTTGACTTTCATTTCTTTCTGTTTATTAAAGCAGTGGTGAGTGAGTTGGTTATAGAGTATTTGCACTGATCTTTTCTGCTAGATGGATATCCTGGAACTACCAGAACATGAGAAGCAGTCGTAGTACTTGATAGCAAGACATTTTAGTTACTCCATACTAGCTACAGCACAGTGGGGTACTGCCAGGGAAAAGATATGAATCCTTAATGTTGCATCATCATGTAGGATTGGATTCAGTTGTATCTAACCAATGGATGATGAATGGTGATCTGGGCAGCCCCTGGATTCAGATTTCTGATGGTTTTAATGCTAACAGCAGAGACAGGAGCTTCCTCTCGCTCAGCAAAATGAAGTGCAGCCTTAAATTTATCACACACAGAAAATACTGTGAGTATGGAAAGCAGTAACAGCATTTTCCTACTTACCAAGAAAGCTACAAAACAGTGGTGCTGCTAGTGCTGGGCTTGTTGTCTTTATTTTTCCTTTTCTTAGCCTTTTTGGAGATTCTGATACAAAGTCTTTGGGGAGAAAAAAATACAAGAAGTCAGTGTCTTGGGTGGGATTTCCTTCTCCAGATGGCCCACTGATTTTCTTACAGCTACAGTTCAAATTCTGTTTTCTTTTCCCCTCGTGCCTCATTGCCCAACAGTTGCTGCAGTTGCTAACAGTGGCAGCCTTTCCCACCAGCTCTGCTCCTGGACCTAGCTGAACTAATCATCAAAGGTAAAGAGAAAGAAATCCTTTTCTTTCTGGGAGAGGAGCCCGAAAGAATTTTTGAAGGAGAATCAAAATGAGAGAAGAGGGGTCTGTGGCCAGGCAGCAGCAGATGAAGACTACCCTGGTCACCCCACGAGGGAGGGCTGGTGGTTCCTCTGCCGTGGATGTGTGTCTCCTAGCAGCAGGAGGACAAAGGGCAAGGGGATCTCATTTGATTGCTCCCCTGCTTGACTTTGGAGCAGCCTCTCAGAGCAGTGGTTACTGGTGCCAGAGCAGACCCAGTGAAGGGCTTGGGATAAGTTTCAGGCTGCTGATGGCTGGTGCCCCAGGAACAGTGATGGGCTGGGTGACATGTGCCATCTCCTCTTTGCAGGGGCTCTGGAGAGGCATGGAATCAAAAGTTTGCTTCAGGTTATTACCAAACACTTGGTGCCCTGAGGTTTGTGGGAATTGGTTGCTTTGTATCCTAACTAAAAAAAAAAGGTGACCCACACAACTCTTTCTATGGTAGCAGCAGCAGAGCAGTGTTTTGATTCTCTCTGAAGGTGGAAAGAACATGGGCAGAGACGTTGGACTTTGTGCTGCTGTAAGAGCAGGTCTGTGGGAAATGGTGAGGGGCAGTCCCCGTGCTGCTCCCCGTTCTGCAGGAGGGGTGGCTGGGAAGAGCAGCACAGAAGATCACAGCAGGCTGAGATAGGGATCCTGGCAGAGAAGAGATGCTGCTGCCTCTTATCTGAAGTATTGCACACCATGTACAAAGGAGAGCCACATCTTCTCTTAAACCTGTGTTGTGGGACTCAGCTGAGTGCCAGTTTAATGTACTGCTTGTCGCTGTCTGATAACACTTCTTAGGCTTTTTTTCCCCTTGTCTCTCTAAAGCTTGTTACAATAATGTGAAAAGAGCATTTTCCCCTTCTGCCAGGAGTTTTAAGCCCACGTGTTTCTAGCACCACCCACTGCTTTTAATCCTAATAGGATTTTCAACTGCTTTTGTCTGTGCTTTATTTCCCCAGGATCTACTAACTTTTCAAAGAAAATCTTTACTAAGTAAATGGAAGATAGAGCTCAGGTATATCCATCCCTTTCTTTTGCTGAGCATGTCTGTTGTCTCCTGTGCAAAGAGGAATTTTGGCTTCTGTTTAGTCTTAATGAGGAAACTGCAAAGTTGCTTTAAAAGTTAGAAAGTGAGCAGCCAGCGTTTTACAAAAAAAAATGGCATTTTTAACTTTTATAAAGTCCTTGTGCAAGTGACAGAACTACAGTGTAACCTGGGGCCCCATCTTCAACAGGCTTTGCAGTCTGTGCTGAGCACTTACCAGCTGCTTTCTGTGGAATTGATTTAAAGCATACTAATACAAAGCCTTATGTTTGAACATTTATCAGGAAAAGAGACCTGCAAGATGCCCAGGATGACTGCATGGGAACAAAGAAATATCCAGGACAAGAGAACTGATACTAAATGATTGTCAGCGTGGATGTTTTGGGTTCAGGCAGTGATGCCCAGGATTTATTTCTTTTTTCAGTGTACAGCTTGCCCATGCCCAGTGAATAACCTGGTGGGAGCACTCAGGTGTTTGCCGAGGACCTTGTGGCTGCTCTGCCAAGTTGTGACTCCTCTTGCTTCTCTCTTGCTGGTGGGAGCTGGTTTTTTACCCAGCCAGGGGAGGTTGCCAGGCCCTCACCACCCTTCCATGGGTGCCAGTACAACAAAGGTAACTGATTGCCTTTCCTTGGCTTCCTTTTCTGCTTGGACTGAAACAAGTGCAGGTTTGACACCCGTAGTTTGTAGGTGAGGTTCCAGGCTCCCTTCTGTGGTTTTGGCAAACTCTTCTGTGGTTGCAGTGAGGCTGCTGAGATGTTGTGTGTGCTGACAGGGGGTGATTCATCTCGCTCCTCCTGTGATCTCCCTGGGGTCAAGGAGCTCTGTTCCTGCTGTTCATGTAGCTCTCTGAAGACTGATGTCCTGTCCAAGGTGACTGAATTGTGAAATGATGAAGTTTTTCCTTGGTGTTCTCACCCTTTGTTAATTTAATAGAGAAACAGTAGCAGTCAGCTTAGCCTTAGCATGTTGAGAACTGGTGGTCATCACTAGTGTGTAGCAAATGTCCTCTCAGAGCAGAACAGAGAGAAAGGAGTGAATGGTAGATACCCTGAAGAGAACTGAGCTACAAGCAGCAAGGACAAACTACAGAAAAGAGGCTTTTTCTTGTAAACTTCAGATTTCAATAAAGAGCTGACTTGCACAGTCTCCTGTTGCAAGGTGGTGGGTAAAGAGGAGAAGAGGAATGAAAGATGGAGTGTCTGAAGTGGAGAGGTAATGTGTTTTACCCAAACATTTTGTAGCTGAGAAATAAAACTGGATATAACCAAACAGTAGCTCTGAGTCTGGACTTCCTGAATGATAGTTCTGCTTTTTCCCCAGCCAGAACTTTTTGATTCACTTAATTCTTTTCTCAGCCTCTTCTAACTTACCCACTTTGTGTCCCTACACAATGCGCTTTGTGTCCCGACACGATGGGGTTAGGTTTGGTTCTCTGGAGTGGAGGAGTGGAGTTTGGAATTTGTGTTTTGGTTTTTGGTTGGGTTTTTGTTTATTTTTTTAAATGGAATTGTCTGGGTTTTTTTCTGGTGGAGTGTTCTCCCAGAATATTTTGACCACCTCTCTTTTTCAAGTGTCTACAGGCTGGTTTACAGCCAGTCCTTTTCCAAAGTACATTTTGAAATGAGCCCTCACTTATGCTGCCCTGATTGGAGAATCAGGCTTTCAAATGGAAATCTTTCTAGATAGAAGCACACAAACTTGAAAAGGTCACAAAAAACAAGCTGCATACTCGTTGTAGTTCATAGACATGTGAAGCTGTTCACATTCCCTACAGATGCTGAAACTCTTAAGAACCACAGAACATTTTTACTATTTGTTTGCCATGGACAGAACCTGTTGGGCTCTGATTTATTCCTGAAACATCAAAACATTAGCTTATCACTGCTGCCATGTGGTGGATTATATACAATCATCTGGTATATAACCTCAGATTTTCTTTGTCATATGGCAGCATTAAATCCAGCACTTCACATATGAAAGAGAGATATTATCAGTGTCTCCAAACTTTCTCCAAACTTCTAAAGCAACTTTCTTTTAATTTCTAGTATCTTGCACTTGGTTGTTGTTGTTTTAATAGGTGCAGGTACAAATATTTAACGTTTTGCATTTCCTCTACATGTCTTCAAACAGCAGTGTGTGTGTTTCTCCTCTAGTCTTACACAAAAACCAAGCAATGTTTTGTTTTTCTCCCCACTTCCTAACAGGCAAGCAGGAGTTGTCTGCATTCCAGCAGTTCACCTGCACAGAACTGCAGCCACCATGCAAAGCAGCCAGCAGGACTTTGAAAAGGCTCAAGAGCAGCTGAAGCTTTTAAAAAATGATCCTGGGAATGAAACGAAGTTGAAGCTCTATGCTTTGTTCAAACAGGCAAGATTGACTTGTTTTGTTTTGTAAAGGGAATTTATAAGTTGAGGGGATGGACCTGTAAAATATTGACTTAAAATAGGGGTTGTTCAAATGTGCTGTGTCTTAAGCTCTTAATTTCAAGTGCTCAGAGTCTGTTCCTGAAATGCCAGCCCCTCAAAACCTGATGGAATTCTGAGGGAAGCCAAACCTGTTTTATCTTATAAGTCAGGCTTTGAATAGAAACCTTTATTCAAAGAAATAGAGCAAATTTACACCAGTTGTGTGATGCCTTCCATGTAATATAGCTTACAGTGGTGCAGCTCTGCAAAATGGCTTATGCCTAGGACAAAAAGAGTATGCTGCATGCTTGCTCTTGAATTTCTTCTACCTACAGTCAGTCAGCTGGGCCTGTAACACTGGGGTCTTTTTTTCTTTCTTCTTTTCTTTCTTTTGTGTGGTCATTGTAGTTGTTTCTGGTCTTTTTTTTTCCCCTATTTTTTTAAACTTAAGGAACTGTTCCTCCACACCTTGAGTGAAGGATCTTCTTTACTACAGCATGGAAGGAGACCTTTGTAGAAATAGCTGCAAGTCCTTAGCAGGGTTTGTACTGGTACTTGGGAAAGTGTTTGTGGATCAAGATTGGCTGCAGGGTCTGTGCTGGCTGTGGCTTTTTATAGTGAAGAAGGCAATCAAATGCTCCTTTAAATAAAAACTTAGGCAGCTGACTGTTCCAGGTAGTCTTACTAATTAATAATAATGAGCTCAAAAATGTATAATCTACTTTTCCTCATAGAATACTTCAGGGTAGCTCAAGCTCCTGAAGTTCAACTGGTCCAGTGCCCAACTTTGAAGTATGACCCAGCTCAACAGATCCTGTGCAATGGTGTCTTTGCTCACACAGCTTACAAGTCTTTAACTTTCTTTTTAAGTATAAAACTTCCACAGTTTGTCAGAGAGAAGAACTTAACATCCATGTGTGTTTTGGAAACCAATGTCTCCTATTGGTTAGTCAGGTGCTAAGGAACAGCAGGCCAGGCAGAGTTCATGGGATGTGAGCTGAGTATTGCCCAGGCACTAGCTGTTCTTCCTGTCTCAGCTGAATTCTGTACCCTCATCAGAGAGATACTCCTAAGAGCCATCATCTCTTCTACCTAGGTTTCATCACTGCAGGTACAAATTTGCTTTAATCAGAAGTTTAAATAAGTTTTCTTTCACTCTCTTTTCAGGCTACTGAAGGTCCCTGCAATGCTCCAAAACCAGGGATGCTGGACTTTGTCAAGAAAGCCAAGTGGGATGCATGGAATTCTCTTGGCAACTTGTCTCAGGTGACAAAACCTATGATTTCACTCAGTCACTTTGTAGATTACCTTGAGGTGCCTGCTCTGTACTTGGATGGCTGATGTCTAAACACATGCTAGCTGAGCAACTGCTTCAGACACCAAAATCTTTTGCATTGTATTCTACAGTCATTTCACTGCTTCAGCATTTGGAGCTCTTTGCCTGTCTGAGCAGCCAGCTCCTCTGGCTGCTCAGGAGTGGCTTCTGAGCTCACTCAAAGATATTACCTAATACAGAGGAGATTTTTGCATTTTTTTTTCTTTTAAAGGAAAACATGCTTGCAGAATTTTATGAGCATAACATAATCTTGTGCTGCTTGGGCATGTGATTTGGGTTTTTTGTTTGTTTCCTATCTGAGATGGCTCTGCAGCTTTTAGGAATAACCAAGAAAAACTTGAGGAAAAAAATCCATGCTTGAAGTTACAGTGGAGAGGGAATAGAGAATTTCATGTGCTACTTATTATGGATTATAGAATTGTTCAAAGTCTATTATCCTTTCAAGAAAATAGTTTGTTAACAACAAAGAACTTAAAATTCTTTTACATTACTGCTTACTATAGAAATGAGGGTTTAGGCTTCTGCGTGTCATGTTTGTGCTGAATGAAAACTGTCTTCAAGCAATTTTAAACTGCCATAGACCCATTTCAGCACTTGTATTTTCAGTGACAAAAAAACCCCTTCTATTTTGTTGGAGAAACGTCCAACTGCAAAGCAGAAACAAAAGTTCCATTGAAATGTGTAAATTCTGGGAAGATCTCTTAAACATGGGTGTGGGTGGGAGCACTTCTCCAACAAAAGAAATGTCTTCACCCCAGCACCTATGCACTTCTATTTGCAGATCCATTGCTGCTGCTTTCCAGATGACTTGAAGCATGGCCTGTAGTGTTTAAATACAGCATGTTCCTCTTCTCATCCTAATTAGAATGCTTTCTAATTTAGATTTATTTCTCTTCTGTCCTGAAGCCTTTTCCTTTTCCACCACAGGTACCCTTTTTATGAGGAGCATAACAGACTGATTCCCAGTTCAGCCTTTGATAGCCTCATGGGAATTTCTTATTTTTCTTTTTTCTTTTCTTTCACTACAGGATAATGCCAGACAGAAATACACTGAGCTTGTGTCAAGTCTGGTGTCTGCAGAATCTGCTGACCAGAAGGAGGCTCCCCCTGAGGAGGGCAGACATGATGGCTATGAAACATTACTAGTTACCACCAAAAACAATATCACAAAGATCATGTTTAACCGACCTGACAAGAAAAATGCCATCAACCATAAGGTAAGGAAATTAACAGGGGAGGGCTAAGGACTTTTTCTTTCCTGGCTAAGCTACTTAAGTTTTTAAAGAATCATTAGCAGATTAGGTTTAGCAGAACTGACTGAATCATGGTGGTCTGAATTTTATGAGAGCTTAGAATCGTGACTCCAATGACAACCTAGGGAATAAATATCCAGCACAAAACAAAACCATTCCTCTAAAATGTTACAAGTTGGACTTTTGTGGTTTTTTTTCAAACTTCTTATAGGGTTGTGGTCTGTAGAGAACTGAAATGTGTGTGCCTAGGTTGTCTTCCCATTCCCACAGCTATATGTGAGCAAATCCATCCTGGTGGGAACACTGTCATCCCATTTCACAGCTGCAAAGAAACCAGAACAGGGACTTCACCCCACTGCTGCTGGTTCTTTAAAATATTATGTTGCCTACATAAAGTACTTCTCATGTTTTACAATTAGCTAATTCCAGTTAATGTCTGCTTTCCAAAGGACCTTATTTTGTCCTTTAGATTTGCATCAGAAGTCTTCATTATTGTAGGCACGTGTAATTATGGTCAGAAACACCTTACATGTACCACTTAATGTTCTGTGGGTGCAGGGTTTTTTTCTACTTAAAAGGGTGATAGTTAATCTGTCTGTCAAGTCCAGTGTGAATCTCCTTTTTATGACCTTTTGCAGCACCCTGTTTATACTTTGTTGATTTTTCCTCTTATGCAGATGTACAGAGAAATTATCAAAGCACTTGAAGAAGCTGGAAAGAATGATTCTACCATAGCAGTTATTACTGGTACCACACTTCATATGCCTCTCTTAGATTTGTTTTATGTTAAGCCAAAGTCCAGTCCTGACATGAACTATCTCCTTGTACGTAGGCTAAGGTAGAACTGTGTAAATGAGGAAATTCTTTCCTCTAGTATAGACCAAAGGTTTTCCAAAAGGTTTTGGCAAAATGTTTTCAAGGTGGCGTTTCAAATTCTTGAGCAAGCTTGCTGTCACATCAGAACATCTTCCTGAGATGTTTGAAGGGGTATAAAGGGAGATTCATAAACTTACATTTCCATTTTTCTGTTTAAAAAAAAGTTCTCACATCTTACTGTTTGAATAATTGTGAATTGACTGAAAAAAAAATACCCTGAGCAGGTATGCAAGGAAAGAAATAAAATATTTATTTTCCCATCTGACACTGTTCAGAAGAAATAAAGTTATTTTCTTCTCCCTCAAGTCTTTCAGTTTTAATATTCTGTGGCTTTTTATTCATTGTTTTTCAGCAAATTGTGAGTGAAAACTTATTTTTAAGCCACAGATGTCCTTTAAGGTAGTGTGTATACTTTGAGACACTCCTGCTAATTACTTAATCACGTTAGAAACTGAGAATGAAATTCTTTTGTAAATGTAATAAGTGGAAGCTGCTCTGCTCTTGCCTGCTCAGAAACCACTGGGGCATTTATTCATATGTGTTCTCTGCAGGAAATGGAGACTACTATAGCAGTGGAAATGATCTGAATAATTTTACTAACATCCAACCTGGAGACATGGAGAAGATGGCAAAGGATGGAGCAGTGTTACTCAGGTAGAACATCTTGGTTTCATGCACACACAAGTTACTGTAGTGGGTAAACTGATCTGCAGGCACTGCTAGAAACCACAACAGCAGGGACCCAGTTGTGCTGTGATAGATCCCTTTAGGTGATTGTGCTTGAGGGCTCACCATGTGCATAAACACAAAGATTATGTGGGAAAATTAGTATTCATGATATGAAATAAATGAGGGAATGAGATAAGTGTTAGAAAACTTAAGTACAATAAGGCTACAAACTCATGGTTTTTTAGTCCCCACAGCCCCTGCAGATACAGTGGCAAAACATGATTTTGACTGTATAGTTTGTCAGCTGCAATGAAAATTTTGTGAGTTTTTTGATATCCAGCAGTGTCTACACTAGCAGGACGTGCCAAAATACCTTCATGGTCAGATGGGTGCAGACTGGGTGTAGTGAACTTGTTCAGAATGACTGGGATCATGGTTCTGTCTCTGAGTCTGAATCTACCTGTTAAACTAATTTATTTCCTAAAGCCAGGGAGACTGGGGGCATCATCTGACACAGTGGCTGAAATGTGGGGTTTTTTGGACAAAAAACATTTCTTTCTTCCCTATTTAAACAGTTTTTGTCTACTCTTTTACTTCTGTGTGTGATGATTACATCTGAGAGATGCTTGCAGATCAGATTGCTCCCTCAAGCACTTACAATTGATGGAAAATCTAAAATACACAGAAAAGCAAACCATGTTTTTGGTTTCTACTTTAAAGATGGAGTGGAAGTACTCAGTTTTGCAGCTTAGGCAAGCTGTCTGTGGAAACCAGTTGCCCCTCCCAAGTGATAATGATGCCATCTGAATCTGTCCCTGTTCAGTGGCATGTGGCAAGTGTTGGGTGCTCAGCACAGCCTGTGGCCTCACAAGTGCTTCATGGCCTTTCATCCTGCCCTTGTGAGATCTGCTGTGCTGTTACCACTGCAGAGATGCCAGGGAAATGGAGTTCTTACAGCACTGCTCACTTGGGAAAAGTGGTATATTTGGAGCATGCATTTTGCTCTTCTTGGCTGGAGAAGCAGCTGCCAAATGAATCAAACTGCTCTGCCTCAGACCCGTGCAGAGCAGCACTGGGGAGTTCTGTGTGGTGGGAATGTCACAGTTTCAGTGCCTGCTGGGGCTCCACTGCAGAATCTGACAGGGATGGATGTCCCCTGGGTGGGGTGAGGATGGAGGGACAGGCAGATTAGCTCTGAGCTGGTAAGGAAATGCAGGTGTATTCAAGCAGTTCCCCTTTCCTTTGTCAGAATCCCCTTGGGGAAGGGCAAAACCACATGCTGCTAACTAGAATCTAGCTCCTTGGTTTTGTTCCACAGTATCTAATCAGGTTCTGAAAGCTGTTTGTATTTGTTGAAAAAGACCAGTGTGCATCTCTTCCATTCTGGTTTTTCCTTCTCCCTAGGGAGTTTGTGGATCATTTTATTGATTTTCCCAAGCCACTGTTTGCAGTGGTAAACGGCCCAGCTATTGGGATCTGTGTGACAGTCCTTGGCTTGTGTGACGTCGTCTATGCTTCTGACAGGGTGAGTACCTTACAGAGCTGATCCCAAGGCAGTCTTCAAGTCTTTTTCTCTAGCAAATATTATTTGGTTTGGGGGAATCTGACAGAAAATGTGCAAGTGTGATGAAGGCTTTTTGTGTCACGTCGAGGGACGCCTGTTACCTGCACGGGGGAGCCTCAGCCAGGGGCCAGTGTGGGTGGAACTCCCCTGCTGTAGCTGTGCTATCCCCTTACTGGCTCCAGTGCAGAAAGTCTTTGCTGCATCAGTGTGTATCATAAAGAGTAGCTGATGGGAAAGGATGGTTCTAAGGCCCCTTTCAGGTGTGGGAGAGCATGTAAGAGATCATTACGGAATGGAAGTGCAGTCACTGGCATTGTATCTAGTCCCTGTTCCAAGATAACTTTGGAAAAGGTTTGTTCTATTCAACCCAAGGTTCCTTTTAAGGTAACTTGCTAAATAAATAACCAAAAGCTATATGAAGGCATAGCACAGAATCTGTTTTACACAAAGTCAGCCCTTGGGTGCTTCGAGAGGCTGAAGCAGCGTTACTGGATGGTGTGTAAAGCCTGCTCAGGTAACAGCTCAGATGGATTTCTGGTGAACTCCACCACAGTTCTATGAAGACTATATCTAGTACTTTAGTCCTGTGCTCTGTTGTGAGGTTTGCTTTGTTTTGTTCTTTTTTTTTTTCTCCCTAGGCTACATTTCACACCCCATTTAGTCAACTTGGACAGAGCCCAGAAGGATGTTCCTCTTACCTGTTTCCAAAAATCATGGGTTTAGCCAAGGTAAGAATGCCTGCACTGTGTGTGGGATCATCTGACCTCTGGGTGTTGATGTCCTCCAACTGTCAGAGCAAGTGGAGGCACAGCAGGGGTCCTCACAGAAAGCTCCTGTCTGCATCTTTTGAACCAGAGACCAAGGAGTGTAATGGCCTGTGATGTCAGCTCAGGCACTCTAACAGCAGTGGCCACCTCTGAAGCCACACTGTGCCACAGGTGAAGGTTTTCTTTCCCATGCTGTCCTCCACCTTCCTGAGACAATTTCTGTGTGGTGACAGGTTGTATCCTTCTCCCAGCAATAGGAGGGAATGGTGGAAAGAAGGATTAAAGAAAGAAAATAAACCCACTAGTAGGAAAGGTGCAGGTAGAGTACCCTGATGAGGGGAGGGAACAAGTGTTTCAGGGCTTCTGGGAAACTTGCATTCGAGAGTTCTCCAGCTGTGAACAGCTTGTTGAAGACTCCTTTCTGCTGTTCTTCCTTCTACAGGCAAACGAGATGTTGCTCTTCAACAAGAAGCTGACTGCAGCAGAGGCCTGTGCCCAGGGGCTCGTGACTGAGGTCTTCCCCGAGAGGACTTTTCAGAAGGAAGTTTGGGCCAGATTAGAAGCTTATGCAGCCCTCCCCAAAAATGTCAGTATTTTAAATTGTTCTCCAGCTTGTAAGCCTGTAGCACTCCCAGTCCTCCTGCCAAACCTGTCATTTTACTTGATTTCACTCCATCCTTAACTGCAGTAAGAAGGGTCAGTGTATTTCCCTTCAAGCACAGACCTGTCCCTGTCCCTCTGCTGCTGGGAAGCAGGTGCCTCTCTTCTGCCCTGGCTGAACTTGGGACAGTGCACTGTACACAGCTTGGGTGAAAAGCCACTGAAATACAACTCAGTTTGAATTCAGTGCAGTTTTCTGAAACATTAAATTAAGACAGAAAACATGACTTCCTAATGCTCCTCTCTTTCTCCTCCAGTGTTTGGCAATGTCAAAGCAGCTGTTACGAAGTATGGACAAGGAGAAGCTCCATGAAGTCAACAGCAGAGAATGTGAACTCCTGCAGGAGAGGTGGTTATCTGATGAGTGTGTAAATGCTATTGTCAGCTTCTTTCAGAAGAAAGCAAAGCTCTGATCTTCACCTGTAGAATAATTCACTGCTGGCAATAGCGTAATCTGCCCTTGTCATTTATAAACTTTCTCTTCAAATAATATTCTTACCCCTTGTGATGTATATTTCTGTTCTGAACACTGGGCTAAAGCTGGCTCATTAAATGAATATATTATGTGCCTTGGATCCCTTGTGGATATTTAGGTTGGGGGAAAAAAGTTCATTATTTAATAGGCAGAAGTGATGATTCTTAATACTACTAAAGCAGATGGTGTTCCAAAAGAAGCCACAGGTTCAATAGCACCATATTTTGATAGTTCTTCAATAAATGCCTTATGAGTGATTCTTTTTATTCATCTGTGGGGAAGGAAATACTGTATTAATGAAAAAATAAATAGAAGTATTTAATTACTCTTGTGCTGATTGTTACTCCTTTTGTTCAATGTCCTCAGTGAGAGGCAAAGTAGTTCCTGGAGGTGTATTAATATAATAATCTTATAAAAAGTATTCACTTGACTAATCTGAAGGTGCTCAAGGATCATTTTTAGTGAGTTTTATGGTTCTGATTTTAAATATATTTTTCCATTAATTGCTTCATGTTGCCCTTTTTCTGTGAGAAATCCCATTAAAGATAGTATCACCTTTTACTGTAGCCATCTGGGAATGAAATTAACAAAAGAATTATTTCTCAACAGAAATTTTCTCCCCTGTTGGTGGCTGTCTGTGGGTAGAGAGTGCAGCAGGCACTGCAGAGGCCAGGGCCAGGCTGCTGGAGCTAGGCAGGCAGGCAGCTGCTGCCAGCGAGAGGAGATGGTGGAGCAGCAGCAGTTCCTCAGCCAGAAAAGCCTGTCAGTGACAAGGAGCTGATGGTTGTGTGAAAAAAGAACCCCAGACTCTGATCCTGGAGAGCACTGAGAGTGAGGAACCCAAGAGGCAGGACTCCAGTCCCGGCCCCGGGCACCTGGGCAGGTAGGTGCCTACAGGCAGCGGGTGCAGCTGAGGTGGGGCTGGCTCCTCTGGGGGCAGTGCCAGAGCCCCGGGGTGCAGCAGGGGGGATAGCTGGGGCAGAGGCACAGGGGATGCCCGGGGTCACTGCCCCCAGGTGCTGCCAGCACGCCTTGGCTGAGAGCTGTGGGTGGGTGTTGGCACAGGCACTGCTGCCTCCAGTGTGAGCAGCACCTGCAGCCCAGGCTCTGCCCCGTGGTGCCTGCCCTCGGGGGATGAATGAGGGAGAAGCAGGAGCAGAGAAAAAACAAGAAGTGAGAGTGTGGGCAGAGAAGGGCAGTGAAGCTGGGGAAGGGTTTAGAGCCCGTCTGGTGAGGAGCAGCTGAGGGAGCTGGGGGTGCTGAGCCTGGAGCAAAGGAGGCTCAGGGGAGACCTTCTGGCTCGGCACAGCTCCTGACAGGAGCCTGGAGCCAGGGGGGAGTCGGGCTCTGCTCCCCAGGTACAAGGGACAGGACAAGAGGAAACAGCCTCAAGTTGCCCCAGGGGAGGTTGAGGTTGGCCCTGAGGAACAATTTCTTGCCCTGGAGGGTTGCCCAGGGCTGTGCCAGGCTGCCCAGGGCACTGGTGGAGTCCCCACCCCTGGAGGGGTTCCCAAGCTGTGGAGATGTGGGGTGAGGGACACGGGGCAGTGGGGACCTGGCAGGGCTGGGTTAGGGGTTGGACTGGATGATCTGAAAGGTCCCTTCCAAGCAAAGCCATTCTGTGATTCTGTACATCACTCAGCTGCCCCACAGCAGTGACAGCTTGTGCTGAGAAGGGTTGGGGGTGTTTAGGGGTGACCCTCTGGGAGAGTCAGTGCTGCCACGCAGGATAGAGGAGGAGAGGGTAGAGCAGTGACCAGCCTTGGGCACAGCTGACAGGGAAGAGGGAAACCAAAATAACTTCTGTTCCCGTGGAGGAACTGGAAGAAGGGCTGGGAAGGGCAGCAGGGAACAGCCGGGGGCAGCGGGCTCCTCCCCTGCCGTGTGACTCCCCCACGACGTCAGCAGGGGAGGAGCGTTTCACGCCTGGAGGAGGACACCTAAAGAAAGCAAAATTGCTGTGAGCAGGTAAAAGAACAGTTTAATAATTTAATTGAGAAGTTAATGTCACCCAGCCAGCCAGGCTGAACAGGGGAGAGCAGCGCACGCAAAGACATGTGAGCACTCTGAGGAATTACATATCAACAGGCAATTAGCAGCTTATAAATTTTCTAATTGGAGTGCTCAAAGGGCTTTTATTAATGGATGTAAGTTTGTTTTCATTGAAGTTCCAGAAGGGCAGCTGGGAGGTATCAAACAGTACACTCAAGCAGAAGAACACCTTTACTCTCTCCTAGAGTGTTTGGTGCTGTGGTTACCCCCTGGGGATGGCTGTGGAGCTCTGAGTATACAATTCATTTCCTCCCTTATCGGTGTGGCTCCTTCAGGAGCTGCTCTGCACCTCTGGTGCCGGCTCCTCCCAGAGGAGGGGAAGTGCTGGTGGGCTCTGCAGCCCCTGGGACAATTCGTTTCCTCCCTTATCGGTGTGTCTCCTTCAGGAGCTGCTCTGCTCCTCTGGTGCCGGCTCCTCCCAGAGGAGGGGAAGTGCTGGTGGGCTCTGGAGCCCCTGGGAGCACCGGGCTTTTCCTCCAGCTCAGGCTCCACAACTGTCAGAACCCCACCAGTGTGCTCAACCACAAACGTCTCAGGCACCACCTGCTCCACTGGGTAAGGAATGTTTATGCAGATTGAAAACTTCAACGAGTAATTCACTGCCCTCGTTTTCCCTAAGTGGATGTAAACAGATGGGTGGCAGCTCCTCTTTGTGTCCCTCACCTAGTGCAAGTTCCCCTTCATTTTGTGACGTATTTTTCAACCAGTAAAGCATCTGTTGTAATTGTATTTTTTAGTTGGCCTTTTAAAAGTGGTATAACTCATCTTAGAGATGGGAGATGAGGAATTCTTTACCTCTTGATACAAAGGTTAGTTTAAAAATCTGGAAAAGCTTTGCATGGATTAAAAGTACATACATAGAAATTGACCTAAGTAGAGAAATCCTGTGAAGTGTGCAACAATTTAGCTCAAAGAGGATAACAAAACAATCTAAGCTGTTACAATCTGCACTGAGCCAAGGGATGTTCTTGCTGTCTCACAGCACTGCTGAATATTGTTTCTTTTTTGACATTTAAAGTGATTAGATTCGAGTAATGTTCCAAAAGTTTGGTTTTTTTTTAGAAGTATCTGAGTAATCAAGGGGCAGAAGGTAACTTCTGATCCCATGGATCCACTATGATCCTTTATATGTGGTTTCACCTTTCCTTTGTGATGCAAGGACAGAGTGCCAAGGTTTTTGATCGAGGTCTGCTGTTGTACAAGGAGAAGCAGCAGAAGGAACAGTCCAGTACTTAAAGGCAGCAAAGAGAGTTTCTTGGAAGTCTTCTCCCTACTCTGCAGTAATAGAACAAAGCGTAGTCTGTGCTTGTCAAGGACAAATGATAGCAAACTGATCTGATTTCCTGCACCAGGGTGGCTGGCTGGGGGTGTAAGGGAACAGGAGTGGATGTAATTTGAAGTTTAGAAAGGTTTTTGTGCTGTTCTGCTGTGCAGCTGCCATAAACAATTCCAGGAAGTGTGCTCTTGATTAAATTGCAACCGTGGAGTTGTGGAAGGGGCTGAAGCACTCTACTAAGCAGGAGCCATCGGGTTATCAAAGCAGGAGGGCAGAGACTGGGGTCTGGCAGGAGGCTCTTCTGGAGGGGCTCCTGCTCAGCTGGATCTCTGGAGAGCAGTGTACTAGGAAACATGGCCAACACATTTCAAGGTCCTCCTGAGGAGTTGGACTTCATAGCCCCAGGCTGAATTTCAGTGAGAGAGGCACCTTCCCTCTCACACTGCTCCTGCTGGGTTTGCTTGTGATGCTGAGATCCTCTTCTAGTGATGCTGAAATGAGATACCCCAAGAACTGGCAGAATTACTCTAAAATGGGTACCTCAGAAGCACCTCAATAGAGATGATCATATTTTACCAAACCATTACTATGTTAGTTTGAAATTTAGTTACCACCAAAGGAGACCAAATTCTGCCATATCATCAAAAGACCCCAAATCCCTGCAGAACACTTCTGCAAAGCACTTCCCTCTCTCCAACCCTTGAAATTCTCAGAAGCAAGCCAGCCTTGCTTGCTCTGAGAATGTTCTCCTCCTGCGTGCTGGGTGGAGAGCAGGGAAGGGTGACAGAGGGGGTGGAGTGGGGAGTTGGCCCAGGCTTTAAAAATGACTCCTCCATTCAGCAGCTTTGCAGAGTAACACGTGTAAAGCCAAGAGAAGACAGGACACGAGTAAGTTTTAAGCATACTTTATTAGCTTCAAGCAACTGCCCCTTGTCCCCAGGGTGTGTCACAGGCGCTGGCTCCGGCTCCAGTAGCACCACAGGCTGCTCGGCCTCCTGCCCTTCTCCAGAGGTTTGGTGCCACTTACCCTACGCATGGAGACAAAGCATTATTAACAGGTTTTAAAGGATCAATATGTTCTAACAGAAACTCTTAAAACAGGTTTTATTTTTTAGGCTCTCTTAGCACACACCAAGGCAATAAACCACATTCTAACTGCATAGGGCTGGTGGCTGGTTTCTGAACGCCTGGCAACGTGAAGCTCCTCGTCACCGTGAGGGAGAAGGGAACAGAAATTAGCACAGTGGATTTAGCCCAACTTCCTGCATTTAGGACCTCGGGTGGAGGACAGATAAATCCTCCTCCCCCTCAGATCAGCTGGGAAACAGCTCGGCAGAACTGCACTGGGAGCTCGGGTGGCTGCAGGGGCAGCTCCTCTGCCCCCCCCGCAGGGACACGCTGCTGGGACAGGCCCTGCCTACAGCTGGAGAGGCTCCTCCACTGCCTCCAGCTCCTCAGCTCCCCAGGCTCTGGGAGCCAGGACTAAAGATCTCCTCTTGCTGCCAACAAGAAGTACTGGCTGAGGCAGAGAGGACCGAAATCCCCTTGTTTGGAACAACCCATCAGCTGGTCTCTGCATCAGCAACAGAGTCTGACAGTTAAAATAAACAATCAACCTGCTGAAGTCAAGGAAAAAAGTGCAGCATCTGCTTAAATATTTACTACTTAAAAGACATGTGTTTTAACCAAATCTAATGGCTGATTATTTCTCTAGATTTCATAGGTTTTGAACTGATCACTCTATCAGTTTAAGACAACTGTGTTTAAACAGTAATTCTTATTTACCTATGTTTAATCACAGTTAAAAAACCTCCTCTTCAACCAGGACTGAAACACACACCCCTAGGTAGCACACTAGAACAGCGAGTACCCCTCGGGCATTATCAGTACAGCAGCAGTGATAAATTGGAATGCTGGAAACCAAAAGATTCAGACAGAACTACACCAAGAGTATTTTTCGTATCTTTTATAGGACAGAAACCTTTGTTCATGTCTTCTGGTAGCCATCATCTTCTTTAGAGCTGCACCTACAACACAAAGAACAAGTAAACGAGCAACTTTATGCTTCTCCAGAATAGCTCAAAACAGTTCTGTAGGCATTATGGGGCACCTGTCCTACTGCTTTGTTTCTGTAGCCAGCTCACTGCATTGCTTTATAGCCCTGTTCTAAGAACAAAGCCACAGGAAGGCCCAGCTGCTGCTACAGCTCAGGAAAACTGCCCTGGGAAGCTGTAAAATCCAAGTTACTTTCTGTATTTAACTAGCAAGCAACTAGTATTTCATTAAACGTGGAAGCTAGCTTTATTTCCTGTATGAACAAGATACCTTCATACGTGGGAATAAGGAGAAGTTATTCTTTGTTGGCAATTTTATGATATAAACTGAGAAGAGACAGGCTGCAGGTTCCACCTAGGCAGACACAACCAGGCACCTCCCGCTCGCTTCGGGAGGCAGCCCCCTGCAGCTCCTGGGTGGGGGACTCCCCACCAGCACAGTGGCTGCTGGGCCTCACTTTTCCACTCCTGCGTGCACTAACAGTGCATGACTCTTGCCATTATGGACCTAGGTGGACACAAAAACCTTTCTTAGTTCCAAGAAGGATTATAAAGGAGGTGAAACCGGTGGGGTTTCCACAGCTTGCCCGAATAGATTAACAAAACTGGAGAGCTGAACTGCTTAACACTGTCCAAGAGATCATTACAACAGCAGAAAGGACCTGAAAAAGCTCAGTTCTGTTTGCCTCGCCCTGCATAACAGACTCACATGTTTCAAGCCCTTTTAACTCGTTGCTAAATGTTTATCTACACATGCTGTCAGAAATAACCTTGTGAGGAAGGTGAAGTTGGTGTCTCAGCAAATCAGACCCATGGAGTAGGCGTTGAGTGGCCTGTGACTCGCTTTCCTTTTTCTCTTTCAGCACCATCAAAAGGAAAAGTGAGAAAAACAGCACAAACATTAGTTAAAGCCTGAATTTCATCCCACATCCTACAGGAATAATTTCATTACAACGAAAGCAGACAGACAGTATCTGTAGGGGTTTGTTTTTTTTTTTCCCTCTTTTTGTTTTTAAGCAGAGATAATTCTATATCTAATTACAACGAAAGCAGACAGACAGTATCTGTAGGGGTTTTGTTTTTTTTTTTCATCTTTTTGGTTTTGTTTAAGCAGAGATAATTCTATATCTAATTAACATAGCCTATAGCTCTCCCAAAGATCATAACGTTTAATAATCCCTTTAGTTAAAATGATTAATAGGAAAAGCAGGGGCGGTTCTTACAAATTACCTGATTTACCATCACTGAAGACAGATTCTTTTAAAAATGGCTACAAATGCCTTGTTCACAAAAGACTTTATTATCTAATGATGCATACTGAAAACATACAGAAATCTGCATGGTCCACTTTACATGCAGCAGAACAATCTTCACTTTACAATAAGTAAGTGTCAACTGTTTTATGCAAGAGACAACACTTTAAAGTCACATTTCTTAAAGAAAAGCTTCATTTACAAAAGAAATAAAAGGTAAAGAAGCAATTACCGCTTTTAAAAAGCAGCTGCTTTGTTCAAGAGTGGAAGGTTTATGCCTGTATTGAAAGACAACATGATCACAAATAATGAAAACGAGGAACAAATGAAACACTTCTAGCATAAAGCAGTACACTTTCAAAATGACATACAAATAGTTAAAAATCTCATTACGTTGCCTAGCTATCCTCTAGAGATAAGGTCTTTCCAATGAGGCTCCAACGTAGGTATTTACTAAATGAAAACTCTTCTCTAAGTATCGGCTCTGTGTCAGAGTGAACTGTATTTAACAAAATGTATACAAAGTCTATAGCAAGTCGAGTTAAAAAAACTAGAGGAGTAGGAAACAGTACACTGAAGGCGCTCCATCCATCGGGGGATGAACAGAACCAGTGGGAGCTACGCCTCGGCTGCAACAGGAGGAGCTGGGCTATCAGACATGCAGGGAACTCTGCCACAACGCTATTGTCTCTCACTTGTCAGTCGTTCCAGCAAAACAACAGCTTAAACACCGGTGATGTTGATGGGTTAGCTTACCTTCAGTGTACTGAAAGTTGTACACAACCTGCTTTAAAAGAGGAGACCATCCCTGCGGGCAGGCTCAAGAAGGAACAGGCCCCCTTCGGCACTGACTACACCAAGGGCATGCTGCTGTGGCCTGCACACACACACCTAGGAAAACGTGAATATAAACAGCATTTATGCTGGCCATTTTTTAAAGACAAAAATGAAGCCAAGTCTGCTAAAAACAAATCAACCACCCAGTATTACTGCTCTTTTTTTTTTTTTCTCTCTTTTTTTTTTTATAACAGATGCTTTTTTTTTTTTCCTTTTTATAATATATACGAACTGCAACCATATACATTAGCATTGTACTTCTGTGCAGTCTTGGCAATTAAAACAGTTCTACAGTGAAAATTTTCACATAAGACACAAAACAGAATTACTCTAACATTTCTAAAAGAAATATCAGCCTTGATGTTAATTCAAATGTATCATTTCTTCCTCAACTTTGCAGGGGAAATATTTATGTTTATATACATTAATAACTGCTGTGAAATTTCTTCAGTCTTTGTATCTTAATTACTCAAACCCTTTGAACTTCTTCATCTGGTTTAAATTTTTTCCTGGATGAAGGGGTGCTGCAGAGCCTGGTTGATGCTAATCCGTTTAGCCGGGTCTAACATTAGGATCTGGTCCAACAAGTCCTTCAGCTGGTGCACTTTTTTACGCTGGTCTTCAGGGAGTCGTTGGCACCCAATCAAGTCTGCTAACAGGTCCTTGGTTGGATTAATGGTGCTCATAACTGTAACTTTCTCCTAGGAACACAAAAAGGGCAAGCTTGTAGAACAGGAGTAAGCACAGAACCCCTCCTACAGAGCTCCAGCGGCAGCTTTGCCTCAGGGTTCTCTCACCCCTGACCAGCAGGGCCCTTCCTCAGCATAAGGCCTGGGAAGTCCTCCAGTGGGCAGAGCAGGGTGGACATCCTGCTGTGGGGCAGGCTGGGCTGTGTCCTCCACCAACAGCAGGTGCAGGAGTGAGCCCAGCATCCCAGCTCACCAGGATTCCATGGGGAACGTTCCTACACCTGAGCACTAACTCTGGGAATCTTGATCAATATCCTGTCCTGAAGTGGTACAGAAATAACAACCTCCTACCACCTGAGAGCATCCGACTGGAGCTGGACAACCCTCTCTACAATGAAGGCAGAATGCCCTTTGTTAGTCATTTACAGATAAATTACGTGGAGATACCCCCTGTACTGACCCAGATTAAACTTTAATTTCTCTTAAAAGTGTTCCTAAATGATGGGAAAATCACCTCTGCCAGTTTATAGCTACACAACCTGTCCACAGCACTGCAAGAGGCGCTTCTAACAGTCTTGAAATCTGATTTTTACTTTGGATGTCAAGATACATTTGAAAGACCCTAACAGTAGGAAAGGTTAAAAAAAAAAAAAAGAAATAGGTTAGTTGATACATTGAGGACTTACCCTTTCTGTCACTTTATCTACTTCTATATACATAAAGTTGAGATTTTGATCAAAGTGCTGATCTTTGAACACACCTTTTCGAATCATCTGGAAAATGAGGGAGAGGCAAGAGTTTGAGGCAAGTTCTCTGCATCTTACAAAGCCCACAATTAGCATCCGTGTCTACTAACCTACTGCAGCATGAATAATCTCATACTAATGAAAAATATATCAAAAGGACAGCAAGAAATGTCTAGACTGAATAAAAATACACAGTTCAAACCAGCTGAAAGAGGACACAGTATCTGCCGTGGACTTACGTATTATTTTTCAGGTCAGTGCTTAGAAGGTTTCTGCTTTCACTTTATACTTAGTCTATGAAAAAGAAGCTGTATACTTCACTTGGTAACATTTTAGATCAATATAAATGATACAGTCAGAGAGATGGCTGATATTTACTTGCTGTTAGGAGAAGATGTATACGATAAGAAACAGAACCCAGGGGGGAAATGTGTATTCTGCTTTTGGTGAGAGACGTTTTGGGTGTTAAAGATCACACACTTCTCTTTCTTACCTTGTTTGGCATCTTTCCTTTGAGATCCATGGCTAGTTTCAACATGTGGTTATTGGTTTTGCCAGGAAAGAGTATTTTTCCTGTATACAGTTCATACAACGTGCAGCCTACAGACCACATATCTATACCATAGTCATAGATTTTTCCTATAACTGAAACAGAGTGATTCCAGTTAATTCCACACAGGCAGCCTGAAGCCCTACAGCACCACAGAACCTGAGAGATGGAAAAATTCTCACTTGTCAACTATAGTGGTGCTCCCCCTCTTAGGAGGTCACCAGAAAAGAAGGATGCAAGCTTTTTAACTGTGACAGCATCCCAGTTAGAAAGGGAGGGTTCTCCCTGACACTCAAACTAATCAGCACAAATTAAGTTAGTAAAAAAGCAAGAAGTCAGCACAATACCTCTAAATTAAAATGAACTACAACCACTCAGAGTGACTCCTACTCCTCCCTGTCCTCACTCAGCTGACCACCACCAAACATGAAGGGTCACCCAAGCCTGCTTTCAAAGTCTCAGTTTTTGACTGCCATCGTATTTCCAGAGGGATGTTTTGCTGAGACCAAGCAGAGAGTAAATTCCAGTTAAAATTCCCAGCTGCTGCTGCTGGTACCTCCTGCTACTGCTTTGCTGGGTGTAGCCAATGCAAATGTACTTACTGATCTCTGGAGCTCGATAAAATCTACTGACTAGATAGGGTGTGATGTCGTTATCTGCCACGTGGGAAGCCGATCCAAAATCACAAAGCTTCAAGATTGTTTTAGACTCATTCACCTGGGAGTGAAAAGTAAACAGCCATTAGTGCTGCTTGGAGCCAGAACTGCCAACAGCACTAGGGAACTGACATGTTTCAGTCAGAGAGAACAACAACAGTCAGCCTTGGAACTGAAGTTCTTCCCATATTTCAATCCCTCCTCTCAGTATTCTAAGGGAATCATACAACTTTCTTCAACTGTCAGTTCCTGTCTTCAGATCCTACAACATACAAAGAGGTCAGTTCCATGTATTTTTCCCTTACCAAAGCCTTTTTGGTGGGCCTGGATTTCATGCCAGGTACTGGAACTGCATCAGTTTAGGCTTCCAACTCTAGTATCCCGAGTACCACTCATAAACCAGCATATTATTCACCTATCTCATGTTTACACAGTAAAATTTACTGCTGTGATGGCAAGAAGAGAACATTTTAAATCAAACAATCTGTACTGGTCACAGGGATGACCAGCAAGAAACTGGCAGTTCTGGATTCCCCTGATGGAGCTCTCCCACCCTGAGAGCTGAATGTTTAATGGAAACAGGGGAGAAACAAAGGCATTAGGGACTTCTCCCAAGTACCTCATTCCCATAACCAAAATCTCCATCCAGACTCAGACAACCTACTGCCACTCTGCAGAAAGCCAGAACGTTTTTCAGCTCCTGATGGAGAGGATCCCAAGGTTTCTCCTAAGAAGGGACACTGCCTTACGTTGGAAGATCTGCTTTCTACAGAGGTTTGCTTGAGAAAGTTTGTACTGAACAGCAGAGTTATTTAGATGCTGTGTTATATTTCTTACCTACTATTTATACCACCATAGCAGTTTGTATTAAAACATGAACCTTTAACATTTTCAGTTAAAGTGAACTTTGACTTCACCTAAATGAACAAAACTGTATTAATTTCAAACACTTAATTTTACACTACTGACTGTGCAGAAGAAGTTTCAATTATTTATTACTTACCAAAATATTATCTGGTTTAATGTCTGCATGTAGAATATTGCATCTTTTGAGGAGTTTTAAAGCCAGGAACAACTGCTGGCTGTAGGAACGCACAGCTTTGATATGGAGCCCCACATCCTTCCCATACTTCTTCAACACCTCTCGTAAATTCATGCTGTGAGGAGCAAGGCAGGGAGAGAAGAACAGCAAAAAAGCTTAAAATAAAACAGTGGCCTCCTAATAAACTGTAAGAGGAAGCTGAAGGAACCAGAGTGTTGGACATTGGTGGGGGAAAGCAGCCTTGGAGGGAGTGAGCACACTGCTGGGAGTGCCAGCCCTGCTCCCTCACACCTCTCCTGGGCTGCACTGAGCTCACAACAGTTTTAACCAAGAGTCATCTGAGAGGACAACCAGGACAAAACAACTGTAGATCCCTTCAGAGAATACACAGCATTTGCTGAACCCCTCTTAGTCCAAACCCTTAAAATAAACAATTATGGAAGCTAATAAACATATTGACATGCACAAGTACTTGAAAAGTCCCTATGAGCAGGTGAGATGAACCATTGTTAGCAATAAATCATTTCCTTCCCAGCATTACCAGGCAGAAAGTTCAGGGTGATGCTTTAAGTGAATCAGAAATGGTTCAGTAATCTGTAGATTTGTGCCTCCAGATAGATAGATTTTTGGAAGTTCGTTGCATTCTTGAGTCTTTGCAATAGAGCAAGGTACCCAGAGGCAGCAGGAAGGCCTGAATCTCTCCCTAGCACAGTCACAGAGAGCCCCAGCAGCTGTCACCTCACCTGAGTGGCTCAAATACCAGGCAGAGATGTTGTTTGTGGTAGAAGTGCCTGAACAACCGCAGACAATGGAACTTGTCATCAGGATCTGCATCGTTGAGCTTCTTCAAAAATTCCAGTTCTTTCAGGCCAGTTTTTTGCCTGAAAACAAAGAACTATGGTTGTACAACAAAACCAGTCAAATTCTGACACTTTTTTAAAATCCAGACCCTCACTTGTGTGGTTATAATTACCCAGGCATGAGAAGTGTCCTGTCATTATGTCCCTGCTCACTGCAAGGGGGTTGGACTAGGTGACCTTTAAAGGTCCCTTCCAACCCAAGCAAGTCTGTGCTCAAGATTCCCTAATGTACCACAGCTTAGAAAGCAGAACAAAACCAGGACAAAACCAAAAATCACAACAGTGGTTTGCTGTCAGTGTCTACACTGGCCAAGTTGATTTCATTCTCTGATCTTCACTGTGCCTTTGTAACCCACTTATCTGTTCCTCCTCCCTGCAGCTAAAATTAGATTTCCTCCTGTATCACAACACTCCAGTTTTGAACAGCACTCACTTGAGTTTATTTTTTTAAAAAAGTATTTTACTTAACCACATATATTATTAAAAAATGTTTTAAGCTAAACTGACTCTAGAGCTGAGTACACACCCAGACTGATTTGTCTACAACAAACAAAACTGAAATTAGGCTATCACACCCTGCATCCCCCCCTTTTTTTTTTTTTACCTTTTCTAGATTCCTGTAACTCAAAATAACCCAGTTACACATACAGCAAGACAGCTTTTAAAACTTCCAAGGTAAAATGCATGGAAAAGATGTTCATTTGTTGCTTTTAATGGAAAAAAATGATGCATGACTATAGAAATACTGCAAGGGATGCTGAAAATTTATCTTATAGCCAAGTCCTCACATAAGATAGTTTAAGAGATCACACCTGTTTGTTTTCAATCTGAAAGACCTCAATTTCTCTTTTAAATTTCAAATTTTCAGCTAGGTCCCATCCCTTTGTTATCTATCTCAGACATGCAGATGTACAGAGAATGCACAATCATAATTAACACATGGAGTCTTTTTGCAAGGTGCAGGTGATCAATTAGGACCCAACCCACAGCCTGCCAAATTCACCTGGTCTGTCAAACCAGAAGTTTTACAGTTCACAACTCCCTTCTCAAGGATTTCAGGGCTGTGCAGGCCTCAAGCTGACTGTGACAAGTGTGTTACTGCTGCAAACAGAGCTGACTTACATGAGCTCGTTGTTCCTGATGATTTTGACAGCCACCTCCTGGTTTGCTCTGGCCATGTCCCTGGCTCTCACCACGTTGCTGAAGACTCCCTGACCCGTGTAGCCATAGACATTGTAACGTTTGTCTAGGACTTCACCTATATTCACACCTGAGGGACAACAATCAAGCCATTTAAAGTCACGAGTGGCACACATGAGTCCATCCCATGTATTTCAGAAAGAGAAGCTCAATGGTGTAAGCACTGAGTCCCAGTGTCCATATGCATCACCCAGCTCTGTGGACACCACAGGGCACAAGCTCTGATTCTGCAGGTCTGGGGGCAACACCCCCAGGCTCATTTCACCCACCCCACGGCAGACTCAGTCAGGGCACTGTGGTATGTTGACAGCAGGAGCACATTTCAGTGCTTTTCCTGGAGGATCCCTCCCACCCAGCCCCTCTCTGCAGCTGCCCCTGCAAGCCAAGCAGCACGACTCACGGTAGTAGCCTTCTGCATCAGTCCAGTTATCCCTGAGGTTGGGGTTTTCTTTGAAGTCTTTTCCAAACCCAGCAGCCCTGAGACGAGCACTCTGAAACAGGAAGGGAAGGAGCAGCTTTACTCGTGTCTCCAGATTCTCCCTTGGTGCTGACTTCCCCAAAGCCCTTTTGCCCTACTGACACTCCAGAGCACACCCAAGCTAATCTTGCAGGGAGAGAAACTGCCCAACACAAGATGCAATTTATGTACCAGTATCTACAGACTGATGCAGGGAAAGA